ATGTAAATGACATCAAGAAGGAGCAAAAGGTCCGAGAACTTCCGAAAAGAAAATGAATGAACATAAAATTTTGAGCAACTTCCGAAGGTAAAGCATGAAGTAATCTTAATCGGTTGCAATCGGTTGACATTAAATATATCGGTTCGGTTACCCGACTAAGGAATTTTTTCTCGGTTCAAATCACTAGTTATAACTAAGATTTTAAGTGAGATCTTCAAAATATACCGATACGCTTATACAATAACTTATCCGTTAACAAATTTACGCTTATCTTTATATATATATTTTTTAACAAACTATTCAGATTAAAAATAAACAATTTACTATCAATGCCTATTAATTCTTTATTTCAACATGCTTACAGTACATTCAAATCCAAATGCTAGTTGTATAAATACGTACTATCTAATAAACTAATTAACATATTTTCATTGTTTAAAAAAAAAAAAAAATAAATAATAATAATACTAATAATAATTATAAAAACGTATAATCAAATTAATCTATATTGAGTTTTGATTTGGTCGACTAAATTAAAATAGTCTTCTAAATAATCATCATTTTCCAAATTAATTTGGTTTAATAACCAATTTTTAAATCTATTTTGAACAGGACACTGATTTGAATATTGTTTCTCAATCATAGATATCCCTCTAAGTATTTTTTCACGTGTATCAAAATCAATTCCTTTATCATTACCCATATCATCAAATAATGTGTCTTGAAATAAATTACACCAGATTTCAATTGAATTTTGAAATGAAGTAATAATATCATCATGTTGTTGTTGTTGTTGATCTAAAAAACTAAACTTTTTATTAACAACTTTAACCATATTTGGGTCTATAAAATCGGTAACGAATAAAGCACATTTTGCACGAAATTCGTTATTTTCTAATTCTTGATACACAATTGCCAACCGTGACAATCCTTGATTATTCTTAATAGATTGTATTGATTCTTGGTTACCACGGACTATACTGGATAAAGCGTATAAAAGACGAGAAGAAACTTTTATATCTGTCTCAGAAGATAATAAATCTAAAAGGTAAGGTATGAGATCTAATTTTAAAGCTTCATCCTGAGCCAAAGGATTGTTCTATTTAAGAAATATTTTTTTTTATATTTATGGTCAATAAAAACTTGATTAATAATGAAAATTAATATAAACTTTACAAATATAATATTCATTACCTGCATTGCAGTACCAATGACCAAAGCAGCTTTTTTTCTTATTTCATTTGAATCATGTTCCAAAAGTTTAACGATTGATATTAGACCATTGCCTTTAGCAAGTTTTATACCAAAATCTAGTTCATGAACCAAATCTTCCAAGTTATCCAAAGTAGATATTATATCATTTAATGGTTGTAATTGTTGTAATGTAATTGTTAAATTAGAGATACAATCTTCAAAAATTAAACTATCTGAAAGTGAAATACGATTATTTTCTTTATGTCCAGACGGAATAATCGGTAATGAATTATTAGTTTCTAGAGAGTCTTCATGATGTATAAAAATTTGTGAATCCTGATTATTATCAACTTCTGATGGTTCAGTTTGGACAAGATCTGAGTGAACTGAGCCATCTTTATCAACTATGATAATTTCCGATGATTCATGATTATTGTTATCTAAGAGTTTTGCATGTTTTTTTCCAGTGGTTAAATCAATTTTCACATGAAGCCCTGTAGAAAAAAAAAATTTTTTTTCGAGTTTTAAAAAAAAATGTTACATTATAAAGGTATATAACAAATGAATCTAAGGTATATATATACCAGCAGGTATTTCTTGTCCTTCTAAAACTTCTTGAAAATATTCTGCTGCGATAAATATTTTCGGATAACAGTGGCCTTCTTTATTACATACATTTTCAAGTGAATTTTTGGTCGTTAAAACAAAACCAATAAATATACATAGTAACAGTAGAAAAAGATGTCTATTAATATTTAGTGCCATTATTAGAAAAAAAATATTATTAATTATTTATCGTTATAAGCAATTTAAAGCTAGGTTGTTTCATGTCACATTTTATAACGGTTTAAAACAATTTGTGTAACTAATAGATATAATATATGCAATACGTGAATTTTGCACATTGTTACATTTGTAAGTATATGATTGATGCAGAGCAATAACGTAAACCAAATTATATGTCGATATCAGTCTTGGGGTCTTTCGAGAAACTTTTTCGATCATCATCATCATCTAGTGCATCAAAAAGGTACATGTCTGGATGTGAGGTCTCCCAACTGTTAAAATTGGTCGAATATCGTAGAGTCGGTGATTCGGCAGGTGATGTATCGTTATTGATAGGAATCGATGATTGGCATATATTCACGTGATCAGTACTAGAGGTATCAACTAAAGCAAAAGGCATGTTTGTTGAATCTTTAGAGATCCCATCTTGAGATAGTTCGTTCATGAAGTGTTTTTTATCGTTGACTGATGGTTGACACTCTAAGTTCGGTGACATACTTGGTGTATGTTCTTTAGTTTGAGATGTTTTATAAAATTCAATAGAATCGTCTTGATTCATTGATGACTCTATGTTTGTTACAGGAACTTGTTCTTATCTATTCAATTTCGTTTCAGTATTAGAATTATGTAGTTTATTCGAAGTCACATTACCACTATTCTTTGTAATTTCCATTAAAGATTTCATATCATGTTTCAGAAAACTTATTTCCAATTGAAGGCGAGCATTCTTTACTTCGAGATTATGGATGCGATTCAAAACATTCTTCAGACGATAGTATATAAATATTGAAGATTCATAAAGAGAAAAATGATTTATACAATACATGAACCCTCAAAAGTAGTAACAAAGGAATTTGAAGACCCAATATTTATAAATTCACTCACTTGACTAATTAAAACATCCTGATTATAGTTGAATTTCTCATCTTTTACATAACCTGAGTCTTCTTTTATAAAGAAAAAATAAAAGAAATTTTATTATTATTTATGTTGCACTAATAATTGTAGTAGAGAAATCTGATGTATCAAAGCACACCTAAATTACTTTCATTATTGATAGAGTCTTCAGCAAATTCGTCAAACTTGCTTCTCTTGCACTTTTTATTCGCGAATACTTTCTTGGAACTTAATTTAGGACTATTAATTGCTTCTAATGAGGAATTAAATATTTCGTTGTCACCTTCGGTGACCAAGTCAACGTTCGATATCACGTCGTTAGAGTGTGTAAAATTGTTCCATGCAATATTTGTTGAATCGATAGATTGAGATACAATTGAATGTAATGCAGAAGTTTCTATTGTTCTTGATGTAGAAATAGGGGATTGGTTTGCTTTGGGTATTATATTCGAATTTATATCCGCACTTGATTCGGAGATTTTACAGATTTTTGAGTTGCTTTCATCATTTGCTAAGAAATGATGCCATTCCAACGACTCTTCGCTAATTGAAGATTCAGAAGTATTGGTTTGTTCCAATGGTAACATTGAATCGATCATCGTTGCAATATCGGCAGTGGTCATTGTTTCATGAATGCTTAATAAAAAAATATATTTAAAAGTTTAATATCACAATTACTTTGCATATTGATATAAAAATTAACCTTACTCTTGAATGTCATCTTCCTGCCTTTTTTTAGACAATTTGGTACTTAAAGACAGCGAGTCTAAGTGTTTAAGATTATGCGTTGATGGTTCCTTGGAGCGTTGTCTGTTAATAAACCACGATTGACTTCTACTATTTGCTTTTTCAGAAGACCCTACTCACATGATTAGTACATGCGTTTATGATTTCTTTAAAAGATGGGATAATTTACCTGAAAAAGTTGCATCATTCGTAGTATTCTAAGTTAAAATAGATTTAGGTTTTATATTGTATAAAAATGTATATATATCTGATGCGTGGTGCTTACAATAGACGAAGAAACATTAACGCCAATCCAATCAAATCCTTGTAAAAGATCCTGTTTACGTTTTAAAATGTCTTTATAACGATAATAACAAGATTTAAAAAAAAATAAAAATAAATTAATATCAAATATAGGATATCCTTCAACGATAACAAATTACCTGTCATGTTTTGTGAAACTGTCGTTGAATTGTTTACTATTTCATGATTCAAATTTACTGGTTCTAAATAAGTTTCATGAAGTATATTACTTTTGTCTTCACATAATATTCCTGCTAAATCTTTAGAATGGTTTAAAGCAGATAATGATAACAATCTTTGATCATCGTTACTCGAACGATTGATTTCTTCAGTCAAAGAATTTGTTTGATGATTATCACCATTTTGGCGAACAACTTCAATATTGGGTAAGGTACGCGCACGTTTTGGTTCACATTTGAGAAATTTATGTACTTTCTTTAAACGTTGACGATTAAAAAACTCTTTTTGTCTCTGTTGTTCAAGTTTAATTTTTGTTTTATTTCTTTAAATTATTTTGAATTATTTTAGAACTTTTTTTTTTTTGTTTTAATAACGAATTCAGTAAAAATTTTTTTAACCTCTTGCTACCAGTCCAGTTCATGTTACATTTAACTTTGAATTCTTTTCACCAACCATTAAATGTGTCTATTTATCCTTGAATTCCTATGACGTAACTTAGCGATAGTTTATAACAAAATAAATTTTACCATTTTATTACCGCTTTTACTATATCGTTAATACAGTCTCATATGAACCAAAATTTAGCATTATCCAGCTTAAACTAGCTAATTTAAACCTGCTATTTATTAAAATACATAATTCATGTATCGGTATTTACATAACATTTATTGCAAATTATTATTATTTACAGAATTTTTTGAGTGCTGCCAATTAAACCTGGAACTGAATAAATATTCAGTTCCAAGTTTTAATTTGGTAGCACTTATTTATTTATTAACATTTTATAGAGCTTGAATCCGTTATCCGTTGAATATTGAATTTAATAGTAAAATCCGTCGGATATCGGATCTAATCTCTAGTATAGAATATTTGTTCTCTGAGTATAATCAAATAATCCTGTGCAATTTATACAAGCCCAGTGTACAGTATATCGGTTGATTGTTATCTCTGCAAATGCTTTTTGATTCAATACATTTTGATACAGTAAATTGTTGAGTTCGATGTGGAGGTAAATTCGATTACTTAAGTTCAAATGCGTTCATTATATGAGATTGAAACAAAAAATAAGAAATAATTAAATTACCGTAGCAATTAAAAAAAATATACACAGCAAAAGAGAAACTGAATTTAGAGAATGCAAAAAAAAATATATATGTTTCTAAATATTTGCGCCAAAAAACAACTTACATCGTAAAGATAATTTTATTAAGATTATATTTTATAAAAATTTTGTACAGTATTAAACAAATATCTTGTTGAAAATTTTAAGCTATCATATTAGCCGAATTTTTTATATTATTTATATATATACTGGCTACTATGTTAATTCTTGACATATACCAAGATTCTTCTAATTCTAAATCAAAATCACTATATTGAATATTTAAATAAGTCAAATTAGTGCCTTTACAAAGTAATATTTTTCCTCCCTCTAATTATCATAAATATCCAAAGAAGTTAGCGTGGTGTTCTTGCAAAGTGAATCTGCCAATACTTTTTCCTCCTTCTTATCCAAGTTCATTATATCCAATATTTAAATAAGTGAGTGTAGTATTTGTGCATAGAGCATTCGCTATTGCTTT